GGTGAAAATTTCATGTCATTAGCACCTCTAGTAATATATTTACTGAGAAAAATGGTGACGTGTTCAATACTTATTTTACCTGCTGTATCTCCAGCAGTCCCTATTTCAGAGTGTGGACACCTGGACAGGTCACAAGTCCAAACAAGGTAGTCACAGACACGGTACTGTCGACTTCTGAGAAGGTGGGCTGGTGTAATGCTGACTGACGTTTTTGGGGACCACTCAATCAAAGGTTCAAGTGAAAMACTACAGCCAGACTGTTTTTGGATTTAAACTTTCTGTGTTTTTTCGAGACCTGCGAGCTCCTTGCTCTACGAACTTTAAYGGCACAAAGACTAGCTAAAAGTATGCAGCAGATAAAACCCTATAAAGACGTATCTGGATGTAGTTTGATCTGTGTACCTTAATAAAGGACAGGAGTCATTATGTGACTCCAGTTGCTTTCATTAGCWGCATGAGTGAGAGCAACATGTCAGAGCAGCCCAGATTTTTCCACTCCTCTTTTGATTCCACACTGATTAWTGTCCTCTAAAAGTGTATTTGACTGTAGTAGGATAACATCTCCGTCAATGTGTTCTGAACTACAATTGGAGCATTAATACATTATGGGCTCCTCCTTCATCTATTTAACAGTCCGGACTTCTGAAAGAGCCTATAGAGACAGAGGCTAGAAAAAAATTAGAAGCTAACAGCTWATCGCTAACCGCTAAGATGACAGTCATTCAGTCTGCGTCACACATCTTTATCTTGTTACAGCAGAAGCTTGTTAGCTGTTAGCAGACTTAAAGTTGACAAAACACAAGTTAGCAGAAGCTAATTGGCCCGCAAGCAGTTTTCAAAGTTAAAGAAAAAGCTAATCTGTTAAACAAAAATGAGTTGTGCTATTAACCATTAAAGGAACCATGCTTACTTCAGAGTTACCATTGAGCCTTATATGCATGTCTTTGTTCTGTGGGAGAAAACCGGAGCACATGGAGAGAACATGAAAATGTTTCACATGGACGTAAGCATTAAAAAAAGTAAATCCTAAAACTCGTGAAGAAATGACACTTTAAGCTGTTTTATTTTCTTACAAATATGAAAAAGACGACTGAGCAGCAATAAAAAGCCGTTTGAAGACTGAAACAGAGGACGTAACATGAGACACGACGCACAACGAAAGCTAATAAAAAGATGCTGAGTGATGTGAAGGTAAAACTCTTCAGTCCGGTGAGATGGTGCCCATGATAGTCTGGTAATACCTTAATTCCGAGGCCAGAAAAAGTAGAAGCACTTTGTATATTCAGATTAAATTTTAAGCAGCCTGGATGGACGGTGGAGTAGACATCTGCACATCAAACTGATCACAGAAGATTACCCTGCCTCCCTGATTCTGTCAGGGAAAGAATGAAAAACAAACCAACTCTCCTGCTTACAAGACAAATATAAGACGCTTTTTAACCTTATATTTGACCAACTTTTAATTAATCCCTTTTTWATGTTTTGTTTTCCCACAAAACTCTACCTAAACTGATTTTTTGTGGTATTTTTCCTCCCTCTTAAAGTTTTATTGGTTGTTTTTTTACATATTTTACTTCTGCAGATCTCATTTCTTTTTAAACCTCGACACTGTTCTGTGCCTTCTTCGGAAATCCAAAGTTCCTTTTCATTGAGGAAAACAYGGAAAAAGAAATACATAGATGATGTTTTTTATGAAAAAAAAGAAAAAAGAGGACTGGAAAGTACTTGAAGAAATTAGAGCAGGGGTTTAAGGAGGACAGGATGTCTTGTGACTGTGTAGGTGGACTCTTGTACGGTAGCCCATGGATTACAGCCACTCAAACACACAGGGACTTAAAGTGAACATAAATCAGAAACAGGACAAAAAATCCACTGGAGTTTTACCGCTTCAAACATGATTATCCTAATGTGAAAAATGAAATAGGCTTCTAGTACGGAGAGGTGCAAAAACAGCTCCACAGCCAAAAATGAAACAGCAACGGGGGAAATTAAAACCGAAGTACGCCACATAAAACACATCTGTAGTGGAAAGTAAAACACCTGTGCTCATATAAGAKCTAAACCAAGCTTTATCTTTAATTAGACAAAGCATACACAGCACGGTGTCCATAGTTTTTGAGTTTTAAGTGGTTGAGTCACACATGTCTGATTTTCCCATCAGCTTCTGAAAACAGCCTCCAACGTTCAGCTAAGTTGTCCTTTCACAAAGTTTAACCCTCGATCTGGTGTGTTAAAGAAYGCCGTTTGCACATCAGTTTTAACCATTATCATGGGAAAATATAAAAACGATCAAAGGCGAGGAGATCAAGATGAAACAGGCGGAGAGATACCCTTATACCCTTATGTCTGCAGCACACAAGGACAGCCTGTTCATCCTAAAAGCTCCTGAACACCACGTTTGTAGAGAAGAAAACTTGATCGATCTGCAGCTGAGAGAACCAACGTCTAAAAGTCATAATGATTTTCTCATTGTGGATTYAAACCATAAACAACACGGTGGGTTAGTGGTTTGTAGGGTTGCTTCAAAGGAAAAAGGTCCTGGGGTCACTGTTGCCCACTCCTCTGTAAGGAAAAGGTCACTATTGGGTGTCCTAAAAGTTGTTAAATGATGTCATCGCCTAATTTCCATATCTGGACATTTACATTTAATTGTGATCTAGGCAATGGGAGACATGTCTATCAACATTAAAAAGGAAAAAGTGAGTTTCCTCTCTGCTCTGACTGCAGATAGGATTGCTGCGCCAGGCTTCAGTGAGTCGGAAYGCTTGTTAGTGCTTTGGAAAGGGGGAGGAGCTCACGGCACCAGTGCTTGCTGAGAGGAATGCTGTTGCCAAATTCTTTAAGTCTGTAATAACACAGTAAAAAAAAAAGCTTTTTGGAAAACGAAGTGGCTAAAGGAGTCTGAAAATTTTTAATTAAATCGTCACCACTGTCTAGGGTCTTCCTGCTTGGTGTTTGCATGTTTTCTTGTGCATGTGTCTGATTTCCTCAGGCCTCCCTGGTTATAGTTGAGAAATCAGGAGAAACTGTTATAAGCTGTTGTAAAGACCAACGATGGCTTTTAAAGGTCCTGCTATGTAGTATGGAAGCTACAACCCTAAGCTAATCTGAAATGCTAAAGCTAACGCTAACATTCATATGAAGATATAAATGAACAAGGATGTAAAAGTTTTCAAAATAACTTAATCAGTTGTTATGACAATTTTGAAAATGGACTTGTTTGAAGTTGGCAACGATCCTTTTTGGTTGTTCAAAAAGCTATCTACAACAGGTAAGATATTAGCTGTTTATAATTGTTTTATAGAAACCACTTTTGAAAAGGCCTGAATTATCATATTAACAAACAATTCAACAGTAGAGAAATGAAAATGCCGAAGGGCAGGAAATCTAAAGAGATGATAACCAAAGATCCAAGAGGGCAAACAGAAAGATGAAGTGGCAGAAAGCTAAATGAACAGGAAGACAACTTTTCAAAAGCATTAGAGGGAAAGCTCCTTAAAGAGACAGTTTTATTATTTACCATTTACTATTAAAATCAAAGAATGACTCTCAGCTGCTACCACACCAAATTTGAGCTCAATATTTGTAAAGTTGACCGAAGTACAAATATTTTGGTGTTTTCTAATATCAGCTGACTGTGGTGGCCATCTTGAATTGAACACCTCTAACAATAAATTGTTTGTAGGTTTACATCCAGTGATTAATTTAAGAAAGTTTCAATCAAATCTGTTCAGTGGCTCATGAGATATTTTGCTAACAGACAAACAGGGCTGACTCTAAGAGTTTATGACAACATTTAAAGCAAAGATCAAGTGTAACTTGGCGCTCACATAGTGTGTATTGTGAATGACGCTCAGCTGCTACCACAGCAAAGTTTAGCTCAGTATCTGTAAAACTGACAAAATTATAGCCCCTTTTGTGTTTTCTACATTCAGTTTGCTGTGGCGGCCATCTTGAATTGAGATGACTCCAAAAGTAAATCAGTTGTAGTCGTTTAGCCATTGATTATCTCCTGAGAGATTCATTTCATTCTGTGCACCGGGTCATTAGATATTTTACTAACAGACACAGACTATAGAGCATAACACAGATACAGCATTTCAATGAAAAACATGTAGAGGCAATGTGAGAAAAATGCCTAGATTTTAACAGGAAGGAGTCTCTAGTGAAGAAAAACAGTTGGAAAAAAATCAAACTTTAATTTGATAAATAAGATAAAGTAGTTGCAGCGTTTGATCAATGGAAAATGTCGGGTTTTGTTGTTTCAAAGATAAGTCAGATGTAAAAACATGTTTTTGATGCTTATAAAATGCATTTTTTCAGAATAATATTTGAAATTAATGCTCCTGAATTAAATTAAATTTCGTTCAGTTGTGCTTGGACGACAACTGTTGCATTTTGAAGTTGTTTAATTGATTTAGTTTCATTTTTTAAATTTGCAAAACTTTGATTTCCTGATTCCTGTTCCTGAGGACAGAAGAAAACCCGCCTGCTTTTATCGTCACTTGTCTTCTTCTGTGTGGATGTTTTGACTAAACCGACCCTCACAACCACAGGTTTTCATCCACAAGCTCCACCTGAGCTTTGCTTCACATGCAGCAGGTGAGAAAAGCCACGACAAGTGTGTCTAAAAAAATGCTTCAAATGARGCGTTTGCTTCTGGTTTAGGTTGAAAGGAAAACCTCTGCGTGTAAATCACCTCTGAACTCCGTCACCTGGCCGAGTGCAGACTGATATCTGAGTGAGTTTTATCCCTCAGAGGACACACGGTGCAAGAAATATGATACACGAGAGACAAGTTTTATTACAAATTATATATAAAACAAATAAGAAGTTGAGGCTTTAGTGCAAAAAAGATTCAAAATTTTTAATTAAGTGTGTTAATTACAGAAATGTGAACTTAAAGAAGCTATAAAATGTTATCTGTTAAAAACTGATTCAGTACATTTTCTGTTAGTTTTATGCGTTAATTATCTAATCAAATTGTGGGTGTTTTAAAAATAAAATAAGCATAAACTGACATTTTTAAAGAACAGCCTGTCGTGTTTTAAGTCTGTACTCTCTGTGTCCACAAGGGGACGCCAGTGGGAACTGCAGGTTTACAGCAGATTTTTTGTCTTTCACAACAGAAAAAATGAACTCAGTGTCTGTTTCTTTGCTTGTTTTAGTTATAGATTTGAAAATTTGTAACAAAAGGGATTAAAGTTTCAATGACTAACTTTTATTTTCTGATTTAATGCACTTTTCCCTCATCTACAATGAAANCACACACACACACACACACACACACACACAATGTGATGCTCTGGCAAAACCTGGAGAGCAGAAACCCGCCAATTACATGAGTCTAACACCTGGACTGAAGGGGTGGGCAATACCCCCCCACCCCCCACAGATGGCACAACCTGACAGAGGAGGAATGTCGGCTGGGGTTCGAGTTCAGTCCAGACACAAGTCAGCCGCGCACAAAGACAGTAAATTGCCTGTATGAGCCCCGATAAGAGGAGAACAGAGCAGTGCTGAGACTGAAGCTTTGGGCTGACATGTTGTTACAGGTTAACTCCAACTAAAGCTGGAGAAGTACACAAACACAAACACACACATTAAAAGGGCTGTTTTGCAAAGGTGCATTTCAGCTAAAACACTATTATTATTATTATTATTATTAATAAGACAGGCGGTTATTATAAGGCAGCTCCAGTGGGAACAGAAGCGGGTCTGAGCAGGACAACTTACCGCAGCCTCGGCTCTCTGCACCGCGGCGCTCAGCAGGACCAGAGCCACCACCGCCAGCCCCGGCACCGAGCACCTCCGGCTGAAACTCATCTTAGCGCGGGACAAAAAAATAAAGACAAAATAAAACAAAACAAAACAACCCCCCCAAAAAGATCCACCCGGGTTAGCGCCGACTGACTGTCATATCCAAAGACCCCAGCACCACTTCCAAGCTCCACGGCGCGCAGAATGTGGAAGGAAGGGAGGAAGAAGAAGGCGAGGGAAGGCACTTGTTGCTGCTGGCTCTCCCAGTCTGTGCTGCCCCCCCACCCCCGGATCTGTGGCACCGCGCGCACCTCCCCTCCCCTCCTCCTAAAATAAAAAACCTGCCCACTCCTGCGCACTGCTCTCTGTCGCTACGATCTGGAGCAGAAACACGGATTGATTTTAAATAAATAAACAAATAAATAAATAAATAAATAAATAACTTTCAGATTCAGCTATCAGAGCAACTCTTCTCCCGTTCAGGAAAACAAGCTGAAGATTCAGGGATATCATCCTATTTCTGCTGCAGTAACGTGAAATTGATGTTAAAAAAATAATCACAATTTGTACGCCCAGCTATGAAATCTTTGCACCCATTAGCTCAGGAGTGGAGGTCCACCGCCCTGCGTGTTGTACATGTTTCCCTGCAACACGCCTGATTCAAATCATTAAATCCCCTCAGAGCATCATCAAGTTTAGCAGCAGCCTGTCARTCACTCAGTCCTTCAGTCAGGTGAGTTGAATCAGGGAAACATSTAAAACACAGAGTCATGAAGCGAGGGGTTGAAGACCATCAAGCCATCTATCTACGACAGGTTAGATATTAACTGCTCCTAAGCTTTCCACAGAAGAACCCCAACCTAAAAACATTGAATGCATCCAGGAAGTGAGCACACAAGAAGGTCTGGACCGGACCCGCCTGGTCCTCATCAATAATTCAGGACGCTGAATATTCAGCAGAGCAGCTGGAATAAGGTACAAAACACACACACACACACACACACACACACACACACACACACACACACACACACACACACACACACACA